TATATTTATATTTATATTTATATTTATATTTATATTTAATATAAAAATATTATACTAACTATATTAGCTTTTTTAAAAAAATTGGGATTTAAAAGTATGAATTTGGTGGGCCCTGGGATCCAAAAGGGTGGCGACCCCTGGTTTAAAGTATTGAGCCCACCTTGCTTGTTTTTCTGAGAATTTCCGTGGAATTTTCAGTTTTCAGGGCTTCTAGATTTTTATGATCAGTCCAGACTTCAAAGGGGATTTGGTTCCCTTCTAGGAACTGTCTCCATGTGAGGAGTGCCCATCGCACAGCATATGCCTCTTTCTCCCATATGGCCCATCTTTGTTCGGTTCCTGTTTCTTGGAAGGATAAGCACATGGTTGTAACTGTCCACATCCATTCTTTTGGAGTAGAACTGCTCCAACCGCTACATCGCTAGCATCTGCTTGGATGACAAATGGTTGTTCAGGGTCTGGCTGTTTCAGGATTGGTTCTGCTGAGAACAGTTGTTTAAGTTTTTCGAATGCTGCTTGGCATTCCATCGTCAAGGGAAGGAGTTGCCTCAGTTTGAGTTTCTCCCCCCCTTTCATTTTTAACAAGTTCATGATGGGGAGGGCAATATTCTCAAAAGCTGGAATGAATTGGCGGTAAAAGTTTGCAAAACCCAGGAAGCTCTGCAATTGTTTTCAAGTAAGGGATGGTTCCCAATCGATGACAGCTTTTACTTTTTGTGGGTCCATCTCTATTCCCTCATGGGATATTCTATATCCCAGGTAGTCAATTTTTTCTTGATGGAGTTCACATTTAGAGAGTTTTGCATATAGTCTGTCATTTAGGAGTTTTGTGAGAACTGCTCAGAGTAACTTGATGTGTTCTCCTTTTGTTTCGGTGTAGATTAAAATATCATCGAGATAAACAAGAACCCCTTTGTACAAAAAATCATGGAGAGTCTCATTAATTAATTGCAAGAACATGGCATTAAAGGGAGCACTTTAAATTGGTAGCATCCCAGTGGGGTGTTAAAAGCTATCTTCCACTCGCCCCCTTCCCTTATTCTGATGCGGTAGTATGCCTTTTGCAGGTCTAGCTTCGAAAAAAAATTCCTTTAGAGAGGCGGGCTAACATATTTTTCATGAGGGGGAGGGGGTACATATTCTCCACACTGATCGTATTTAGAGTTTTGTAATCCACTCATAGACACAAAGAGCCATCTTTCTTTTTGCGGAATATTACTGGGGCTGCTATTTTTGGTCGGGTTTGTTCAATGAAAACCCTTTTTAGATTTTTATTGATAAATGCTCTGAGTTCTCTTAGTTCTCTGGGGGACATGCAGTACATTTTTGGTTTTGGAAGTTTAGCCCCTGGTAGGATTTCAATGGCGCAGTCTGTTACGCAATGGGGTAGGAGTTCATCAGAAGCCTCCTCGCTAAATACTTGGGGTAAATCCTGGTACTCTTTGGGGGGTCTTAATGGGTTCAGCCAGCTGACCGGCCATGGCTGGTTCTCTGTTCTCTTTCTTTTCCTTTCCTCTGGGCTGTTTGCAAATGCTACATGTTTCTGGAAATGTATGGTTCCTCTCATCCAGTTTATTTTTAGATTCCATTTCCATATCCATGTGAGTCCTATGACGAGTGGCCCTTCCATTCCTGGTGCTGTAATGAATGTGAGCATCTCACTATGGTTCCCTAGTCTTATTTTCAATGGTTCTGTGGCAAAACTGGCTGGTTTCCCCCCCCCCCTATAGTTCCATCTAATTGACAGAAAGTGATGGGATTTTCCATTTTTTGCTTAGTTGGATTCCCAATTTATCTGCTAGGGTGGGGTTGACTAGGCAATGGATGCATCCCGAATCCAGTAACACTGCAACTTCCTCCCCCTTCCCTTGGCTGGGGATAAACAGTCTTGGGGTAGAGTGAGTGGTTTAATTGGGTTGCTTACCAGCGGGTCGTCTTCCGGATCACTTTCGGACTGGGTCAGGTCTCCTCGGGGCATTGGGGATTCTTCCTCTGGGTTG